GGGTTCGCTAACTTAATCTTCTTTTGTTCGAGTCAGAATCAGTCATTTCATGATTTTCTCCCTAATCGTCAACCGCATCTACCGCAACCACGATTCTCAACTGCCACAAAACGATCCCTTTCTCAATTTCTTGACCTTCGCCAACCCTAAATACGAGCCCTCGTTGGTTGTTGTACCAACCAACAGTTTGATCCTGTACTCGCATTGCGACAAGAGCGTCCCCTTCACGTGTTCTCAGATATCTTTACGGTCAATGTTCGATCTGACACATTCCTTATTACACCTCCAGCTTGAGAAAGTGAAGTTGGATGGTGCTCACCCATATGTAAGCCAGCAGGTGGTTAATTCTTGCTGCCTGCTGCTATGCTTGCTCTGATACGTCTTCTTTTAAGGGGCCTTTTGGGAAGCTGCGTTCTGAGAAACAGGATTGCTTTGTCAGTTGAACTCTCGGCCACGGCTTACATAGTCTAAAAGTCAATAGACTTCTGAGAAGATCGTAGAGGCCAGCCTTTTATATTATGCCCTCGGTAGAAGGATCATACAATTCTATAACACAATTAGTTATTTTTACACTAATTCACAAATCTGGACCTGTGGAGCAGACCATGCTTATAGAGGCGGTACAGTTGACGACAGCTCTAGCTAACAGTAGACTGAAATTGGCTGACCTAACTACCAACTATTAAAATTCTGAAATGAACACCATCGGTACTCCTCGTCCTGACATTTAAGACACTAATTGCACTCAAAGATGTCGAAGATTCGCAGTAGTTTACATATTGCATAATACCGTATTCTTATAAGCAAATTGGATCCTTTGAAGAACACTCGATATAGGAACCAAAAAAGCGACAAAAGATCACCTATAGATAACCGATGAATATTTATTCATTTTCCAATGGTACAGTTTAAGGCAGAAAGAGAAGTGACAACATTGAAGTAGAGTCGCGTTCAAAACTGAAACTTGAAAACCCCTAAATACAGATAGTCTTAATTTGTTGAGGATGTCTATATCCGTGCCAAAGACACACTACCCTCATTTGAAATGAAAAAAGGCAAGAATAACTGAGAAGCGACAGAAAGCATTTAAATAGTGATGTTTCAAACACACTCAACCGATACTAATACATTATCGATAGTTAAACACGAAAGAACGAGTGTGGTAGAATAAGGCTCCTTTCTCAAATATTAAATGACGCCATGGTACGCATTTGAACAAAGACGTCAGGCAAAATCAATCGGAAATACAATTGAACTCACGGTGAAACTAAGTGAGAAAATTTAACCAGCAACTAGGAGGTCATGAGAATTATTCGCAGAAGAAACACATTAGCTGTTAAAACGGTCTAAACAACGAAAAAACAAATGAAAAACAGCCAATGTACAGTAGCAGAACAGATAGACAAGCGGATGGTTGTGCCCAAGTAGTTTTGACAGCACCATATGAAACGAAACTCCTGAAAGGACAGATTAAAGAAGTGAAGAAAAAAAACAATAGGGAAAAACAACTATTCATGCGAGATCTCTGGTGCCATTTCGTAAATCAATAGCTTTTACGTGACCTTTTTATACCCGATAAATAACATTCCGTTCTACAGCGCCCTGTGACTGTATTCGTGCGAGAGTGGAGAAAAACCTCCTCACAATGTAGTCCCACACGTTTACAGTGATTGCGCACTTTCCGTGTTCTCCTCTTTTTATTAGAAGTCGTAAATTCGTACTCGTTCACTGCAAATCTCAGTGATGCATCTCCAGTCAACGACAGTGTGAGCGTGCCTGCGCGTGCGTGGCAAGATCATACGATGTGTCAAGAAAAACGGGAAGGTAAAGGTTGTATATGGGGAATTTTTAAAGGGGTCGTACTCGGCGAAAAGTTAAAGACAACAATCTCTGGAAGATTGAAAACGTCGCACAGCACGCTGCTCGCCTTGTGCGCCAACTGAGAACAGTCAATGAATTTCGCTGCGCAAGGGGAGCGGCAAACTTACGCGACACTATGACCCTTCCTTTACATGTCTATCCAGTTCTGTAGCGCCAGTATTTAAGATCATCTGTAGCGCCAGTATTTAAGATCATATAATAGATCACAGAAAGGTGAACAGATATGCCTGTGAACTGAAGAAAGCCAGTTACGTAGGCCGTAAGATAGCAAAGGTTGACAAGGCTAGTGTTACGAATCAAAACTGCTCATGAAGTTATACATCTGTATGAACCAACTGAAGCGGGTGTTCTGCGACTTATGAAAACTTGGAAAAGCTCAGAAGTAACCACACCTTCAGAATAATAGTCGTTGCGCGGTCAATGTGAGCTTAGGTTATTTAGAAAAAAACTACCAGCTGTCAGAAATTCCCAACATCTTCCACAGAACCTCAAAGCAAGGGGAATTCTTTACTACGTGGTCCATCACCAAGTCGTACGCAGCGACATAGAGAAACTCTTTCTTAGAATCCGAAGGATCGACATGCTCATCTTCCGTGAGTTGCGGCAAACTCTACGGTCTCCGAGACTCCATCAGGCGGCTCGCTGCAGCAAGCTACCCGTCGCGATGGTTCCCCAAAATCTTGTGTCCCTACTCCGGTCGATCACGCAGTCCTCGTAATCAAGAATCGGGGTATGCGTACAGAGATGCAGAATTTTGGATACCCGTCCTGCATCCGCTCCCGTAAGTATGATCGACAGTCAATGAGGTTCGGCCAAAGTTTGTGGTCCGATGGTAAAACTACAAACAATACATCCGCGTATACCTGGGAGCAAGTGCATCATTGTTCACATCTCAAATGGCTCAAACTCAATACGGGGCATTACTCACTTCAATGATGAGCTAGAAGGACTACAATATGAATTGTGGTCACCAATACTTGATTAAAGACAACCGAGTCGAAGCAGTATGATGGCTAAATGCGTAAACATATTCATCTTTACGAACAGTAGTCCTACAAGAGTACATGGGCATTTTCGCATGGAAAAACAAAGCCCCATTCGTGCTCCCTCACTTTGATCAGCACTTCTTGTGTCGGAATGAATGAGAGAAGAGGATGGATTGTTTCACCCAGCATACACACAACGCCAAGAAGAGACTATTTTCAAGGAAGGTTTTTCCTCCGAAAACTTCAAAAGAATAGCCCCACTCTGCAGGCGGTCGAGATTTTACTTTAGTGCCCTGCAACAAAGGAACTCCGTTAAAGGAAGCAAGAGGACTGTGTCGCTGTGCAGAAACGAGAATCAGCATGACGTTGAGAGGTAAAAAGCAATCTGCTTACAACCATTTTCTATTTTCATCTAAAAAATTTTAAAGAATCCCATGAAAGATCAAAAACCCAGGTTGAAAAATAATAAAATAGAATAACGCTCAACCTTAATCCTACTGATCTGACCAGTGCGCTTACAAGTATAGTAGTTTGTTGGGAAGTACTACAGAAAATTCAAGGCGGTTCAGAGCAAGTCGTTATTAGAGAAGCGGGAACGAAGCCGACCCTTCTCAATGAAAATTGAAAAGATTCGTTAAAGCGGAAACGGAGGAAGAACGTCATCTTCCGTGGGTGAACAGACTCTGCATTGACAAGGAAATGTCAGGGTTGATCCTGCAACCAGAGCAGTGGGTGCAGCTAACACACTACTCGCTTGACAAAAACGCGGGTAAATTAGGAAAAGGACGAAGTGAAAGGTAAGCTAAGACTGACAAATGCACTCTAAACACAAGCCTCACAAGCTTTCCTTATACTGACAAAAGGGAACAAGAGAAGCGTGAATTACTAGCGAATGTCGTACTCAATATATGCACCAAGGCATTGTTTAACCAGAGAAACCCACAGAATTTCTTCTTTATATTAACCTGGCGTGTCGATTTGTTTGTGGGTATGTGTGTACGTTTGTCTGTCTGTCCGTCCGCAAAATGAAGTGAGTGATAAGGAAGCTCATGGGATAAACAAACCGCTAACAAATCGGAGAGAGATATCAATGTTTTGTAGCAGGATAGTTGTGATAACACTCTTAGGGCTATATAAACACCTGCTTAGCACACTTCCGGTCATTCCACATGGTGCTGCAGTGGCAGCTGGAGAGCAGGGGGGAAGGGGAGGATAAGGGGAGGAGGAGGAACGCAAAGCTTACACGGGAAAGGATGTTCCGGCGGCTGCCGGGGGAACAATCTGGGTATCATGATAATCCGAACACAACAAGAGATGGTGAAAATTCACATACCATTTTGGAGTCTGGCACTGCATCCGAAATTCGAGGCATGAAATCACGTCTGCATTAAGGTCGAATATCTCCAGCCATGGTTGATTTGATTTGGGCCCATATCCGCTGTATTGATGGAGGCGACCCGTTACGACTATCAGCACCCGACGAGAGTGTTGAAGAATTGTCACCGCATACAAATCCACGGGCAGATACCACAGTTGCACGAGAATCTGCAACGAGAAAACATTAGGGAAGATCTTAATATGGCACGATAAAAGTTACATAGGAATAAGAAAGAACAAAAATAGGAATAGCAATAAGAGTTGTTACGGATCTTTCTAATTGACTTTCAAATTAGGTATACCTTTTAGACAAAGAAATTCCAATTTTTAATTGTGGTTTTTTCTGAAGAAAACCCCTTATGAATATTGAAAATTTGGAAAGGGGCTTCCTATGTAGCTCAGTAATTGCATTTCGAATGAACATTCGTTTTTTTTCTAAATGCTCACGAATTCACTGATGATTTTCCGAATGTACACAGTTGGATGTAGTTGCCGAACAAATCTTCATTGTTTTTGATTGTTAACTATTGTGGCTTCGCAAGGCGAAACGCCGCCAACAACAGCAGTTAACAATCAAAACAAGTCAAAATCATTGCTAAAGCTTTCAGCCTCGCGGTCATTGCCGATATCGGCTAACCGGCTCAACACGTTATACGTGTGAGTGCTGAAAGCTATGGTACGTATACCATGAAAAGCTGAGTTGGAATGAAATGGTGCCCCGGTAGCGTAACTGGTAGCGCACTTGCCCGGAAAGCGAGAGGTGCGGGTTCTAGTCCCGCCTGGGGCGAAAGTTTTGTTCACAACCCAGCATTCTTGTGAGACAATCTTCATTATTGTTTCCAGAATAAAGCAAGTGTCGACGAATCTTCGACAGGAAGGGGGCGTCTTTGTCCTTTTGTGAGTTTTTTTTTTCCTCGAGGTTCGTCGATATAACGCTGTTATGAGAGGTTTTTGAATAACTTTTAAAGAGGACCACGAATTTTTGGCTAATCCAGTAATGATGCGCACCCTAGTTACCCTGGCCTAACCTAACCTACGGGAACTCTGAACAAGCTGAGATGAAGAGAAAGTGAAAGGCTAGGTCATAGGCGATGTCAGAAGTATGGTGGGTAGACCAAATCCGAGAATTCATTTGCTACTATTGTTGCCCTTAACTGTGAAATTTTTAAACAAGTCAGTTCGTTGAACAAGAATAGTGGCGCATTGTGCACAGTAACCTATAAAAAATAATCCTGCTTCTACGAAGCTTTTAAAAAGATTGCAACTCTTACCCATCTCATCATAGGCATTGACTGCACTCTTATAATCAAATGACTAAAAGTATACAGTAGCATAGCAGGATGCGAAATAAATATTGCCAGCGGAATTCGACGAAGTAATGTCATAGCCGTATAAAAGATGAAAGAATGATGACTTTTTGGATTTTCACGAAAATAAGAACAATGGAACAGAAAGCAAATCAAACTCATTAATTGCCTCCTCATAAAAGCTGGGGCCGTAAGGTATGCTTCCCCGAAGGGTTAGGGGACGAAATTCCTTTAAATTTTCTCTGTAGTCCCAACTGGGATTGTCCTGATAAAGGGCCTACATTTAATATATGTGTGTAGGCTTAAAGTAAACATGCATTGAAAATAAAGAAACAGTATCGTTCAAAACAAAAAATTTAAAGGGACTTTCGTCGGGGAAGCATACCTTACGGCCCCTGGGCGATTCTCACTGAACTGCTCTAAAATACTTTCCCACTGATTTCCCACATAGGGCTTTTATCCTTGTCCCAACAATATTTCGACTACTTCGCCCTCCCCGAAGGTCGAGAGTGGCCCAAAATTCGGGATTTGCACTACGAACACCTTTCTAGCTCTTATCATCCTTGTTAGAATTGCAGGAATGTTGGACATTCGTAGCCATCAAAACACCCACCATTCAGCTTAGCGTCTAAGGCATCCTCAGCAGAATCAATCGATAATCGTTTGTGGGTATCGTTTCCAGCAGCTTTTGAGCGATCTGCGTTGCGTTGTTCATCAAGTGACTGTTGTAATGCAACCGGCGTCAACCACTCCTGTGGTAGACACTGAAATCCAAGACAGGTACAAAACTCAATTTGAATTGTTATTCAAAAATTCATTACAAAAAACTCACTCTTTCCAAAAATGGAATCGATCCACTAAGGTTAGCTAAACGATTGATCCATGTTGGTATATCGTTTCCAGTAAGGGCCTAAACTACATTATTCCGACTGACGATAGGGAACCTCAAATCAAGATTTACCTTAGCAAGAACAGCACTAAAGTGATTGCAGTTTCTTGAAATAAGATGGTAGCGGTCACCACGGTATTCTTGCCCGAGAGATTTTATAAGTTCCCGAACGGCAGAAGCCGAGTATGTAGTTTCTCCAATGACAATACATTGTCTAAAACATTACTATATTACAAACACTTCTTTGCAAATAAGAAGCCAAGATCAAAAGATGGGATGTGCACATTTCGAGGGACATAAAATTTCCGAATTAACGCCGAAGTGGAATCTATTGATTATTACCTAAATTTGAAATTTTCTCCTAGTTCCTCAGCATCCTGTGGCGAATTCTCGAAAACGCCAGAAAATGCATAAGGATGCCCACCATAAGCATATTCTGTAAACAAAATGAGTTACAATCATTTAGAAGAGAGACTTAACAAACACTCACCAACTCCATAAACTTCAATTCCAGAATGAAATATTCCAAAACCTATGTTCGACGCATAGTCGTTCAGCCAATACTGAAAAAATAATCGTCAAAATAGAAATGCGGTGAAGTAATACTATCATTGAAAACTCTCAAGTCAGGTAGCTAACCTTCAGAATTACAAAGACAGGAACCCAAATAAATGAGTGTCAAAAAAGCATAATTGGGAAATATCGAAATTTGACAGGCTTTGCCGTATACCTGTAGTACAGTGACGACCCTAGGCAATGCGAAACAAGAACGTGCCTTACGATTAACATGAAGGTTCAGCTGCGTGGAAATTTTAAGTCCAATAGACCACGCTGTTCCATTACAAAGGAGGGTCACAAACATACCTCCCCTACTCTCCCTCCTCCCCCTCCCCCTCCCCTCACACACAGACACACATCTGTCACACCCATACTAATTTTAAAGCCACGAGTCAGGATTAGGTGACCATAGAAGGCCTTTCCATCACTAATATTTCCAGGAATGCGCTCAGAGGGTGTTGCCACACTCCTGACTCGAGATTGCGCGCCGTCAAGGTTTCTGGCCTACTACTTACAGCGATGGGTTCGTTACATCAGCTGGTCCCGCCCACCGCGGGATGTGGTGCGTGGCTGGCCTAACGTGTGAGATCAGCTAGGTTGATTGCCGTATCAACCGATGGAACGGCTGGCATATCCGGAAAACTCGTTTGGACGTGGCTCTCCCCCGAGCAAGCCTCCTTCACTGCTAGAAGGGAAGGGGTTTCGATTTCGGTCTTGTCGACGGTTTCTTTGCGTTTTTTCTTCACTGTCGTTCCACCTCCCATCTCTACACTCAATTTCAGGCGCCATAATGCCCAAACACGAGCCTGACTTTTGCCTTTAATTATCTGGACTGGAGCATACATCATGGAATAAGTGATCCCAATTATCTTAAGATTTTCCTAAAATGTTCCTTAACGTGATACCACTCAAATGGATGACCAACTTCGCGTACAATCGCTATCGATCGATGATGCGTCCTGCAACCGGGTGCAGCTAGCTCCGGCCGGCGATGGGTTCCGTCACCCGCGCCGGGATATGTTCCGAAAGTTGAGAATATGTCCATGAGGTTGGAGATGTAATCCCCAGGTTGGTAGTACGCCCCCAACGTCGATCCCCGACGCGGGTGAGAGGACCCATCCCCGGCCAGGGCTTGCTGCACTCGGCCCCTGCAGTCGCTGGCGCATCGCTCGACAGTTCGGTCACCGCGATTTGTTAGCGACCGGTTGCGAATTTTAACAACTGGCTTGATCTATAAGTACGTCAGAGACCCAGCGTTTGCTGTCGCGAGTTTACAATCCACACTGCGAGGAATAGACTTCAATCAAGATGGCCCTTTATTCTCTACTTCGCACCTGCCACGACGTGCTTCATAGCTAGCGTCAGAGGTGTAGCTTTACTTGAAAAATCGACAGAAACTTTCCCTCTTCCTTTTACCATATAGGCGATATTTGCAATAACTGTGGGCAGTGTACAAAACCCCGTGCATTAAGATTGAGCTTTCAGAAAGAAACAAGCCATTGAAAACAACACTTCGTAGTCCCCTGTGACTGCTGCCGATACAACGATGCACGTGGTGGAACGTGGAACGGCTACACATTAGGCGACGCATGTGAGGAATTTACATTAGGCATACGAAGACATACAGACAGCATAGCCGATAAATTGGAAGAGTTGATTGCTATTGTCAAAGGAGAAGGTCAGAAAGATTTCTTAATGACACAGTTCCGAGTACCAAGTGGAAGCGTTCCCACAGCCGATTTTGGAGATAGTTTTGTGGTGCGAGTCCGAGTAACAGCTTTATTAGTTTTTTTTTTTCGGATAGTTTGGTTCTGAACGCAAATTTTCCTCTCCTCCTAGAGCACGACTCTTAAGCTACCGAAATCCTAAGGAGAGATAAGGAACGCATCGTTTTGTACTCCTTCTGACTAGTAAAGGACGCCATTCGTTACGGGTCCCACTGCCTCCTGCTACAGTGAACCCTTCAATGTGGAGCGGGGAATCCGTGAGCCAGGGGCAGTGTCGCCAGTCTAGGGGGGTGGGGGGTGAGGGCAGACACTTGACATGCGTGAGAAGCTGGAATGTTCGAATTCAACCGCGATCACATGGGATCCCCGCGGGTTAAGGCAGTGGGTCCCGCAACGAATGGCGCCCTATACTAGTCAGTAGGAGTACAAAATGATCACTCCATAATCATTCTATTTCTGGATGATTTCTTAGATTGGCTGCGCTAACTGCTGAGTTCTCACCAACATTCTGAGCTCAGAGAATGAGAGCTTCCATAAAGTGAAGGCGCCACTAAGCTATTACCTTCAAATTTCGAAAATAATAGATTAGTGACACCTTTCGCAAATTCAAAGATGGCATTGTACAATGTAAAGATCTAACACTGAAAATCGAACAAAGCATATACGACGGAATAGGAAAGTTAGTATGAGTCTTCGATCGAAAAATCTGAAAAACAAAAATTTGAGCAACTAGTCATCATCCAAGACTAATACCCCCTATACATGAGCAAACATCCTTTGAAATTTGCGAAACATTCTTTATCAATAGTTCTCCAGTTTCAAGGATATTCCATTATCTGCTCACGTTGTCCAAATGCAACCGTTTCAGAATGGTATTAATATTTTTGGAAGTCAAAACGATTGACTTCCTTGAAAGCATTTTCGCAGGTCACGATAAAAATAGACCCTATGGAAAACTTTGGCCTACCGAGTTTACAAACTCCGAATCACACATTGACGACAACGCGGAGTACATATGACCTGCGCATCGCAGGCCATGTCGGAATCATATCATTACACTCACTTTTTTCGAACATGCCTGATTCTTTTAGAAGTTTCTTGTATTTATTCCATGGAAGAGACCTTGACGTAGCTACAAACATAGTGGCCCATAGAATGGTCACGTATGCTTTAATTTAGAGGAGGATTTCTGAACCATACGAAATCTTCAGTTTCAATAAATTTTTCGTTTACTTTTCTTTTTATAATGTGAATTTAGAAGTAGTGTGAATGTAGATGTGATGAACATATATGATGATAATATGAAGATTTAAATAGAGGTAGAAGTAGATATGGAACCTTAGACCGACGTCATAGTCGGCGACGGACCAAGCGTCGCTTGTCCATTGGCAAGCGACGGACAAGCGATGTCTTAGGGATGACAACATGTGTGTTTTGATTGAAATATAATCAACGTAAAATTGCTTTTGAGGTCCATTGCAGCTAGTTCTGACCAATTTCGCTTTTTCATTGTTATTCCATGTCTTTCGATCGAAATTCCACTACTGTACCCCTGGGTAGGTTGTGCTCATTACAATTTACTGATCTGGTTTTGTATTGATCATTATTTATGTATTTATCACTCAAAATCTGCTTGAACGACCTGAGGCGGCCGCGCCCGCAAAATCGCCCCGGTCCCACGTGGCCAGAAAGCCAAAACTTTGCGTTGTCGTCAAGGTGTTAAAAAACCTTGTAAAAAAAGTTTCCGTGTCATCAAAAAACAGAAACCTATAGGATTCGAGCACTCCCATAAGCACAATATGTGAAGCTTGAAAAGATATTCCGTGAAAATTAGCCAAATTAGAGAACTCTGAATCTCCTAGAAGATTAGAGTTTTTAGGTTTCTGAGAACCTTGAGGATTGATGGGTTCACCTGAGATTTGTATAGACAAAACTCTCTCCTTTTCTTAAATGATCCACTTGAAAAAACTCCTTTTATCACAGCCTGTTTAGTTTACGTTTCGCTGTTCCAAGGGTGCTAATTTAAAATGTTCGTGATTCAAATGATATTGCTCGATACCGAATCGTGATGCTAGCCCTTTGCTGATTGTAATAAGGAAGGCCATTTGCCAAGGCAGCGTGATTAAGTAAAGGCTATCCAATAAATGCGCGAAGCGACTCTCACATAATTGCAGTCCCGACTAAAGTACCCGTCTGCAGCATTTTCGCTGCCAATGCATGTGTTGCGTACTCTACGCAGAACATACAACACCCGTGCCGCGCGCAAAATCGAAATAAATTAAGACGCGAATTCGCGCTATGACTTTTTTGCTGAAGATCTGCCCAAGCGAAGTTTAACACCCAGAATGAATGGGTAATACCCGTCTCGGAATTTAGAACACTTCTATTTGTAAGGTTTAAAAACGATGTAGTGATCACGTGGCAAAGTTTTTTTTTTCACAAATCGAACCAAAAGGGACAACTACACAAACAGAACTATCGTGTCCTGTAGGAATTGTAGGGAACTATAGGAATATTTAGGCGTTATAATCGTGAAAACTATTCAAAACTACCCGAAATATATTATGCTTACGTGTGATAAGTTTCATCACAACGGCGCTGCTCCTCTCGCGATTGCACAATGCCAAGTCTGACACCTTATGATGGCGTGTGGTAATTCAAGGATTGCGTACTCTTGATCAGTTTTATGTGGTACCACTACATAGTAGCTACCCTGAAAGATATCCGGAAATACAGTTCGACAGCAGCTCACCCTGACGATGAGAGCTGGAATTTCTCGCTTTTATCGAGCGAATTCCGTAGGTCATGATCTCGAGTGGTAAAGTGTATGGTTCTAGGCCAGGAGCAAAAGCTCACATAGTTATAGTGTGAAATATGGAATCTCTGCACAGAGTCTTCCCTCCTGTCACATGATGTATAAACGACCATCTGCTGCAAAAGATAATCCTCAGAAAATGCATTTGTCTTTCTGTACTAAGTTTCTCGCTAACTCATCCCTCATGTACTTCAAATGTGGTCACAACCGATGCGCTGATTTCCTTGTTTTTGTTTTCCCATGTCAAATAGAAACATGTTTATCAAAGTTGCTTCTAATAACATATAATTCTTATGACATGTGTGACATAATCCGATATGTGTTCAAATTATTCATGAATTGAGTTTTCGATTGATGTGGCAACTGGTTCGAAAGATACGCACAAAAAGGGAATCCCTCGTTGATCCAGACGCAATCCAAACGCTCATTCAGTAATCCCATAAGTTTCGATGCTATGGCATCAAAGCTATGGTGAACAATGAAATATGATTTACGTCATGTAGGTTAAGAGGACTCGCTTTAAGCGGGGCCGAAATCTTAAGCGTAGTACGACGCTCGCTTGCGAGCCGTTTCTCGTCGCCAAACCGGCCCGATATGTTTGTTTAGTCGCAGACAAAAAATCATCCGGTAGGGCGACCGGTCGTGCGATGGTTCAGCCCTCACCATCCATCGAAACCACCCTTAGTACGCCGCTTGCCTACCGTACTTAAAAACCGAACAAAGTCAAGGTAGAGGGAGCAATCAATTTTCTGACTACGCTGA